AGGCATTAGGCAAAGGCTGTGGTTTATGCATGACGGTGCTCCAGCTCACTTTTCCAATAGTGTCACTGATTATTTAAATGCAACTTATGGGTTTGTCGAAACGGACCTGTTAAATGGCCATAACGATCTCCGGATTCAACGCCATTAGATTATTTTGTATGGAGCTGGATGAAGTAAATGGTTTATTCTGCGGCAGTTGGCACGCAAGAAGAGCTAATAAATCGGATCGTGGAAGCCGCAGTAACTATTAAACACCATCCTGATGCTATATGAAGAGCCAGAGAAGCATGAATTCGTCCTGCTGAATGTTGGATTCAATAAAAGGGAGGCCCCTTCAACAGTTACTCAGTTACTCTATATATTGAAATAATAATAAATAAATAGTAATAATAAATATTTATCCTTTGATATCTGTTTAAAAAATGAGTTTGAGATATATGTTAATATGAACTTTTTTATTTATTTTGTGTTAGTGAACACATACCTAAAATAGTGACGTGCAATTATTATTATTGGCAATATTATTCTTGACCCCACAGCAGAGACATTGAGGGGGTGTCCTTTGTCATTAGTTGCTCACAAGTTAGCCGGGAATGTCCGATTCGGAGCCTTGTCAGGATTATTTCTTCTCTTCTGTTCAACTCGATGTCCACTCGACTTGGAACTACAGAGGGCTCGATCACTCTCAACTTATTGTCTCTTAAAACATGCCAGAGACTCTGCCATTTCTCCAGAGCCTTCCTCTTTACCGAAGCTATTACTTCCTTTGTAAAAGCATCTAGAGTTCCTTCCTTGATTGCTAGTTTGGCCATGATATCGGCTAACTCATTATCCAACACTCTCTAATGTTTTTATATGTCTAACTGTGTCTATGACTAATGAGGTAGTTGAAAAAGAATTTTTCATAACTTTAAGAGCAGATTCTGAATCTATACAAATATAAATTTGCTATTTATTACAATATATATTATTATTAATGTTACACAAATGTTTCTAAGACTTGAAAATGGATGAAGTGGTCCGAAACATGGTCAAATGTGAAAAGGAGTTAAGTGCAATAAAGTTGCTTGAAGTAAAAAAGGGTTTTTTGAAATGTTCCTAAAAATAATAAATTGATGTTGAAAAAAAATGTATATTTTTAAGCAGGTCAATATTACATACATATATAATTACATATATACATATATATATATGTATGTATATATCAATATTACATACATACATCAATGTATATACCAATCTATTGTATGTTATATCAATATTACATACATACATACATATATAATTAGGTTATCTTACTTATTCATATTCTTGATCATTACTAAACTTTCAAAAGCTAAACTTTTCAGTGAACATGTTGTTAAATAAAAATTCTCATTTATACAGAAAATATATATTTACAAATGTTTATGTCATGAAACAACATTTAGTTTCCATATATCCTGATCATGAATTCCATTCCATGATTACGTTGAGACTTCAATTTAAGCGTTACGAACGTACTTCCAACACCCCCGTTCTTGATGTAAACACATCCCCCATTTCCGTTACTCTTCATATCTAAGACTTCGATATAGCCGATCATTCCACCTGATAATTGTCCTTTCACTGGGTAAGTCAGCTCTTCACTTCTCACTCTCATTAATTTCGATTCGTATTTCGGATGGTCCACGTACAAAAGGCTAAAAAAGAAAAAAGAAATGAATTAAATTCTACTTCAAATTATTAAAATGTTTTTTTCTCTGTATTTCCTTATTTCAAAGAATTAAAAATATTTTAATATCGAGGATTTCAAGTGTAGTTTTAATCATAGCTTATAGGAAAAAGTTTATATCATTTATAGTGGATAATAGCGCTTTTTGATAATTAGCATAAAGAATTTGTTTAGATTTTTACTTTAATGGATTATTCAATAAGACCAGTATTATCTGTCATTAGTGAGAGCGTCATAGAATTATAAAATAAACTCAATATTATATTAAAAGTATTTCATATCAAACTGTTCGCCGTTTTTAGAATGGGCATTGACGAATCAAATCCACGATTCACATCGCATCCATCGTTTTTTCAATTTCTGGGCCATAATAAAATTTTGAAAAATCGTTATTACTCTCTGCTTAATTGTCATTGTACAAACTGTTTGATTATTTTCAGTCAAACAAATTTACATATTGGCCTTCTATTATTATTCAAAAACATTTTTTTTTTTTTACAATCTGTTAACAAATGTAACCTTGACTATTGAAAAACGTGAAATATAATATTTTATCTAGTCAATTCGGTAAAACTCGAAGAATTAAAAAAATATTTCAATTTCATTGACTCTCTTCTTCCCTTATATCATCTTATTTCTATCGTTACTTTTTTTTTTTTTTATTAAGTACATAAAACATAAAGTTTGAATTTTTTTTTCAGTACTTTATGGTTACATAGTTATCTACATATATATGAGTGACTCTCACAGATGGAGTCGAAAAAAAGCTAATTTTTCTAACATAGCCTCAATTTTAACAGGTTCTAATGATATGTTTTTTTATGTTTAAACTTAAACATTTGAACCTATAAAACAAAAATTGACTTTTATCTCAGCTTTCTGAAAATGACAGATGTCCATCTTTGATATGAGGCCACTCATATATATAATGTATGATAACATTTAAAACTATAATCTTTCGCGGTGAAGCCTCCCAAAACAGAAAATTAATTTTGTTTTTCATTAATCCATATTTGTTTCTGCGAGCGATCTGAGCTTAAAATATTCTCTTTTTAAAGTATAAAGCATATAAAACTACTAAATTTAATTAAGTATCAAGAAATCATATAGCAAATGTATCCCTAAAAACATTATTATTCCTTTAATTATAGGATTTTATTTTTTTATTGTAAACATTTAAGGATAACTTAAACATAATTTCACAGTTTCTTTCAGATTAATTTAATTAGAGAAAAAAATAATAAAAAAAAACCTTCCCAAAATTAAATCACAAATCCGCCACCGCTCGTCATGATAAATCTGATTAAGTTATCTGATAACAGTCGTCATGGTTGTTTGTGTGTAGCTAACCGCAGACAGCGCAACCTGGTAATGGAAAAAGTAAACAAGCCCAACCCAAGTTTTGTGGTTTCTAGTAAATAAACACAGATTTTTTTTTTCAAAATTTATTAAATAAAATTTATTAATAAAGTTATAAAAAATCGTTAAATATGTATATACACTTACATACACTTAAGATTTCTTAGAATGAAAGTTTATGCACGCTACAGAACCCTTTGTATTAAATTATTAACATACGTTTTATAACTTCGTGAAAAATTTCGTTTCATCGTAAACTACAACTTCTTTGTCTATCAAAATTCTCATAAATGGAGTCTTTACTCACTAAATTGTTCAATTAAATGAGGTACTAAAAACCACAAGCGGATCTACGGGTGGAGGGGCTTGCGGGCTGAAGCTTTCCCCCCTAAAATGGTAAAATATAACCATATTTTATAGAAAAAAATATTAAAAACTATCTTTTAAACTATTATTGTTCGTGTAATTACATTTAATATCACTTCAAGAATCACTAAGACACAATGTCATATGGGTAGTTAGTTTCTTTCTTTCTTTTTTTTCAAATTAATTATTGTTATATATTTGAAAAAAAATCCTTCGGGCTGAAGCCCTCCCCAAAATTAAATCCTGGATCCGCTAGTGCTAAAAACTGATGAATATCCATTTTCTATCCACTTGAATCATAAGATAATTTGAAATTTACCCATTCGATTTTAGGAGTTAGCATATTATCAGTTTATTGTTAAATTATGATATAATATAACACGAACCGTTGATAAGGTGTCCTTTGTCCAAATTGATAGTTGTGAATCTTCTCATTTCCACAGCTGTTGGAACCAATCCAGTCGAGTGGTCCAGCATCAGAAGCAGTTAGAAATGTGAGACAAACAGCAAGCAGAGCGATTCGTACCATGTCGAAGAGTGAACTAAACTAATCTAGTCTTTACCTTGAAATTTTGTAGCTGCTGTCACCTTTTATCTATGCCAGCTTTATAAACCCATCAAACAATGAGTCAGTGAATACTTCTGTGCCTGACACAATATTTTTCCATGAATAAATTATTGACTGACATTTTTGTTTGGTTTGAACTACTTCGTGTTTGTTCAGATTTCGAGATAAGGGGAACATGTTTGCACCAAGGATGTCATCATAAATTTATTTTTTCATACTACGACTAATCGTACGCGGTATCAGGAAAGATCAATCCATATCAGGTAAAATGGAGTATGAGCAAATTTGCTTTATATATATATACTTTCTCTTTATAGTTTATTTATTGCTATCGTTCAATATACATAATTTAAAAAAATAAATATATACAATAGAACCCCGCTTATCCATCCAAGTAGGTACCGAGACATCGTCGGTTAAGCGCAAGAGCCGGTTAATCGACGGATTATAAAAGAAAAAATTCCAATATAAAATTAACACCTATATTAAGTCAGGAGTGCCCATCTTCCCCAAAGACGATGCATCGGGATACAAACGAAAATAAAATTATAAAGATTGTCGTTTCATTTTTCCTTTGTTCATTGGTTTGCAAGTTTTACACAATTGTAGACCCTTAAATATTTGCCCTCTTAAAAATTTAACCATGGTACTTCAATCTGGGTACCCCTGTATTGGTAAAAATTAAAATATATTACGGTGTATAAAAACATTATATTTGGAATGAGGACAAAATTGAAACAATTTCAAAGTTGGGTAAAATATTTGTTTGGAAGAAATAAATTTTGAACATCGAAAAACGAATCTTAAATACTTATTGTTATAAAACAATCGAAAAATAAAAATTTTCGGCTAGCTTAGGGGCTTCAATTTGTTTTCAAAAACTACAATAACTTTTAATTTTTTTAATATTTCATTCCACATTTACCCAAGTGAGTCATTATCGGCCAATTGCCAAAACTTCAAATCCATTCTATTAACTATCTTAGAGGATTTAAGACCCTATAAATAATAGAAAATGGCACAAACCCGTCCTCAGTAAACAAATTATAACTAAAGATATTAAATAAAAATACTTTAGGAGTTTTATTTTTTTTCACTTTTGTAAAGTAATAAAATCTGAAAGTTATTGATACAAGCTGGGAGAGCAGTATTTAGCTTTTGTAATGTTGAATCTGAAGAAAATTTGGAGTAGTTATGAATGCCTTAGAAATAAATTTTTAAAAAATGAAGCTAGTTTTTAAAATATTCTTTTTATTAAAATTTGTGTTAAACTTTTTGAAAAGAATTGGTCTTTTCTTTATCTGAAAAGTGTAGTTTTAAACTTCTTTATTGGGAGTATCTTTTGGTTTTTATAATGTTAAGTTACACTCGAGCTCGTTTATTAAGATCAGCAATATTTTATTTTTATCTCGCATAGATATGCAAATCAATTGATATATTTAGCTTGAAACCCATACAGAGCAAAACAAAGAATAAATTGTATAGAAAACAATAAATTAAAGATTGTATAATTTTTTTTATTGGTGAAATTCCAAGAACATTGACATTTTATTTAAGTATTACTAAAGAAAGTTTTATTAATATCAGTGATCCCAAGACCTTACAGTATGCTTGTTAGTGTTTTCATAAATTAAAAGAAAATTCCTAAAAAAGTATAAAAGATATTGAAAACTTGAGACACATCATCATTTTGTCTAGCTGTTGCTCTGTAAATCCCTTTAAGGTTACAAGTCAAGATCGGCTTTAATAAAAATAACTCTCTTATGTGTTAGAAACATTTTTATTATTGTTTATTTTTTTAGTTTGAGAGTGCCACTTCATAATTTTTTTTTCTATCAGCTCTGAACTCAAATCATTTTCAAAACTTTATGAAATAATGCAGCATTTATGTTGGTTATGTTTTATTTTTAATTAACTGAAACTTATTCCTTAAGCTATCTAATGGAATAGTTTAAATTTAAAGATATTTAAAGAGAATAAAATAGTACTAATTTATTTATTTCTTTTTTTTTAAGGAAAAATATAAGATAAAAATCTACGAAAAACACTGGAATGTTACCTGATGAACTTTTTTTTAATGATTTTGATACTTCAAATACATTTCTTAAATGGAGAAATATATTTAAATAATTTAAGTTTCTTTTTGTAAAACATATATAATTTTATATTTTTAATTTAAACCATCAAGAACGAAATTGGCAAGTTACAGTTGTCAACAAAATATTAACTTGTTAGTAAGTCAAATAGGAGTATTGCGAAATATATTGATAAAAGTTTGAAGCCATTTGTGTTAACTCTAATAGGAAAAATCTGTAATGGTATGCAGCAATCAATATATGAATAAATTATGACAAGAATTTTATTTATCTAGCATTGACGTCATAATTATTTTTAACTGCTTAAATTTTAATCAATATATCAGTAAACCTGCAAAAATAAATAAATTTTTGAATTTTCAATAATTGACTGTAGTACCTTTCATTAGATCACCTATCAAAAAATATGATAATATTCAACTGATTGTGGATCAGTTTGTGTATTTAACAATCTAATAAGAGTTGAATAATGATAAGAGGATTGTTATAAATAAATGAGAAGGTTTGAGCCAGTTACCTTCCACCGTCAGAGCAGTGTACATTAAGCAACAATATGAAACTATATTTTTCTATTTTATGTGTACTTCTCCTAGTGCTATCTTATTGTGATGCAGCATATTTTGGGTCTGATTGCGGAAATAATCGAACACATAATTTTTATTTTGGAAGAAAAACACCTTCCTTAAGGTAAATACCGCAAAGTTATTCAGATATTTAGTTTAATTACCATATATACAGTATATGGTAAGCCCCATCAGAGTTAATTTTGCTTTTATTTTAATTACAGGATATGAAAATTATTCAATTGCATTTAGTAGGTTTCAATATGCTCATTTTAAAGACTATTTCCTCTCTATTATAAAAATTAAATGCCATGTGTGCATTTATGATTGCACTCTATCTCTTTCTGTTTGTGTATATACATATAAATTTATGTAACTCCACATTTTATTGCAATACTGTGCCTTAAACTGATAAATGAGAAAAGGAAAAAAAAACTAGTTGTTTTTTCTCATAAAATTAATAAATAAGGTATAATTGTATGGGAGATTTTTTTTTTTTAACTTTTATTATGATATTTACAACTGTATTAGTATGAATACATCAAGTAAATGTGTACAGAGGAATATTATCACATGAAACACGCTTGTTGAGAAACTACCCATTGGTAGCACTCTAATGTATGGGAGATTAAAAAAAAAAACTAGTTTTTTATTTTAGTTTTTAGATAGATATTCTTTTTCTATAATTTAAAACAGAACTGTTATTTTAATGCGTTATTTTATTTTATTTGATTGAAGCTATCGTTGTTATTTCTATTGTGATAATAATATTAATTTTATTATGCAAGTATATATTTATTTTTATCATCCGTAGCCAATATGTACTCTATTCCTGAAATGATACCATCCCTTTCCAATTGAATGGTTATTATCAATTTTTGTCATTAGGGTATTGATTCGGTTAATGTTTGTTTTATTATGAGTTTTTATTGTTTGTATTTATTTTATGTTTGTATTTATATATATATATATATGTATACACACATATATATATATATGTATATATGCAGGGAGAGATGCATACATATTGATAATTAATTCATAAATGAAATAAAATTATGTATCTAATTTCAGATAATAATAAGAGTAACAAATAATAAGAGTAATTATTTGTTTAAAATGCAAGCTTTATTATGAAATGCAGGAAATGACTCACATGAAGGCATATTTTGTAAATATTTTGAATTATTTGTACAAGAAGTCATGTTCTTTAGCAAATAAAATAAAACATTACATTGTTATCATGTACGTGGGTACTGTCCATTCATAGCTAACACAAGAACTTAGTGCTTATTAATATTCATACCTAAATAATACAAATTAAAATTAAAATTCAGATAAAAAAAATAAATTATTGATTGGGTTCTTACAAATTTTATAGAACCTGAATAACCATTTGCCACTATAAACCAATATCCTGTCTCTTTTTCTACATTTTATTCTGTGTTGTTGATCTTTAGGAATGATTATTCATAGAGGTATAAGACTGTTGACTATAGAGGTGCAGATTTTCCATTCCAGTTTGAGGGCGATGGACCTCTCTCCTGAAAAATATGTCTTGGAAGTTTATATTATGTATAAAAATAATGAGTGATAATTAACCTAATCAATGTAATTATTATAAAATGAATAACATAATACCAAAGTGTATGTAATATATAAACTAACAATATAATTATCTTCGAATATAAACTAAAATTTCAATAATAGTGTTTCGTTAAATACTGCATACTTACTTCTAGGCCTTGCTTAGCCATCCAGTAGACTTTTCCTATTTTTTTAATTGATTTTAATTTACATATTTTATTCATTCATGTACATTAATTGTTATTGATTTTATTTGCTTAAATTTTTGTTCTGTGAAATATTTAGGGAGGGGGTTGAAACAATATTCTTGTCCCCTCTCTTTTTACTGAGGGGCTATTGCCCTCCCTTCAGCTCTCTCCTTACCAATGGGGTCAGTAAAAAAATAGCATAAAATAGTGGTAACTATTTTTTAAATGCCAATGTTTCAATCAACATTGTAGATTTCCACCGAAGTTAAAAATAGAGATACAAAAGAGAAACTATTGCAGAAGATAACTTTAATTAAAAAAAAAGTTTACATTCTCTTTCTTAATAAAAATAAAAGGGCATTAAATGGCATGGTATAAAACCATTTACTAAGAATTGCCTCTGTAGTACTCATTTATATAATAAATATTCAATACAAAATAAAAAAACATTACATAGTATATCAATCAACCATATTACATTATATATATAAGAACATTATATATCAACAAAATTCATGAGACTTAAAAAAAAAAGAAATTTAAATGTTTTTCTTTTCTGAGTGGAATCCGACCAAGGTTTGCAGAAACTTTTTTGTAGCTCTTGAGGTCTACTCTCACCTCTTTGAATATATCCTATTATCATTTCTTTCTATATTTTTTATTCATTATTCTTATTAATAGTGAATATTTCTAGAACAGTAATATATAATTATTATGTATTATATCATTATTATTATTAGTATGTATATTTCCTTCCTGTATTAAAAAAATGAAATGTAAAGGAATATCAATGGTATTGTGCGTATACGTGTTAAGTAAAATCTAAATTCTTGTCTTTAAAATAGACTGTTTCAAATGTAATAAGTACAATTGTACTTATCACATTTGAATTCTATTCAGTTGGATTGGATTTGAACATATAGTTGTAAATGCACTTGTGTGCACAAGACCTTTCTTTACTTATTATAGGTCGTATTATGTACATTGCATTTACATAGCTGATGAGAAATTATATAGTCAATTTCAATTAACAGAATGAATTGATTAATGCATCTCATACCGGGTTTAATAATTTAAAGTGGAATATATTAGTTTAATATTACCAGGTGACTAATCCTACTGAGAAGAGGGAGTTGTTTTCGATTCCTTCCAAGTTGTTTTCAATCAGCTGTCCATCTCTTTCTGTCCTTTGCCATTCTCCATCAATTTTTCCTTAAAGAAGTCTCACCACCTCTTGAGCTGTCTTCCTTTATTCCTCTTAAAGCCTGTAAAGGACATAAGGTGTCCTCTGTATCTTTATAAGGTGTATATATTTATAAGAACACCTCATGGAACCCTGTATATTGAACTAGTTTGGAGTCCTGTATACTGAACCACTAATGGATCCAGTATTTAATTTTTTTTGGGGGAGGGCTTCATCCCAAAAGATTTTTTTTGTATGTATATATTAGGATAATTACTTTGGAAGAAAGAAAGAAACTAACTATCTATATGAAATGGTATTTAAACGATTTTTTAAGTCATATTAAATGTCATTAAATGAAAAATAATTCTTTTAGAGATAATATTTTTCATTGAACATGGTTATATTTTACCATTTAGGGGAAGAGGAGCCCGAAAGCCCCCCTAGATCCGCCTGTGTACTGAACTATATAAAGAAGCAGATTCATGAAGCACTTTTAGTTTTATTAAATTATTTCCTAAACTTCATTATTGATCATTAGGAGATCCTGGCCTGATTATGATAATTACTTTTGTTAACAATCGAATTTCACCACTAAAGTCCCTTAGTGACCATTAAAATTGATGAAATCCATATGAACATCTTGTAGCGAACCTTTTCAACCATTAAGTAATTTTAAAACGTTTTATTCATTAAAAAAAGTTAACCTCATGCTCTTGTATTTGCTTTTATGTAAATGTTGTTTATATTGTCATTATTTATAATGCAGTATATCTTCACATTGTTACATTTTTCTTGCATAAGGTAATAAATCAGTTGCTAATATTTCATTTTTATTTACAGTCTTCTCTACTCAAAACATGTCTACGCAGACAGCAAAATTTTAAGGAAAATAAGCGTTGATGCAATTTTTCCAACTAACGGAACATTACCTCTAGGACAAATCCACTACATTGAAGCTCTGGATCAAACTAGTGAAGGAACTGGAGGTTGTGTATATATAAAAAATGGAGGAGTCGGAAATAGCTTTGTGACTCTCCACGTTAAATCACAGAGGGGTTATGGTCTTAATTTCTATTTGTTTGTTTATGGCATTTTATATCACTGAAATATAATGTAAATTACTGATCAATGTTAATTTTTGTATCTTATTTCTTATCTATCATTCCTTTACCTTATATTTTTTATTTTGCAATGCCAAAAGCCACCAATAGTGAGTTAACTCAGAAGAACCCATAAATATAAAAGAGTAACCATAATTTAAAAATAAAGCAAAACTATAATAAAAAATTTCTAGGGTAAATTCCTGTCAATCAATGTTTTGACGTTGGCTTGAAATAATTCTCAGGTTAAAAAAGGAGTTCAAAAAAATAATATCTTATAATTTTAATAAATAATGTATAAAGTCACTTTTGGTAAATAAGGCCATATATCATTAATTCGAGATAAGTTATTTTGATAAAAACAATAAAATTTTTATTTTTAAATTAAAACCAACTTTTTAACCAAGCTGACATATGATCCTTATATATGATAACAGTTGCCTGCTATCACTTCTACTTATATAAATATTCAAATTCCAAATTAATGGAATTTATTTTATTTAATAGAAAGAAAGAAATAATTGGAAAAAAAATAGTTTTAGTTAAGTCTATAATCCAATGGTTAAAAATTTTAACCAGATTGAATATTGAGATAGATTGAATTTTAAATAGCCATAGTTGTAATTATATATTTTTTAAAGTATTCTAAATTTATACATAAACATTTTTCTGAATTTATCTGGAATTAAACACAATATACACAATATTACTCAATTCTTCTTCGGTGCATACTATTTATTTTCAAGTTAATTTATTATTAGCCATATTTACACCAATTTAAAAAAAAAAATTTTTTGTCACTTAATGACTACTCATCACAATGACGATGTTTCGGCTCGTCGAGCCATTTTCAAGTCTAAAAAAATTTTTTCATTTACAATCATATATTAACTTTAACATATTTCAAATTATAAAGATTCTTATTATGTACTTAAAATACCCATCATGTACCTGTCATTTTCACTTATGCGAATTGCTTTGAATAAAGTTAATATATGATTGTAAATGAAAAAAATTTTTTAGACTTGAAAATGGCTCGACGAGTCATTGTGATGAGTAGTCATTAGATGTGATGAGTAGTAAAGTGACAAAATTTTTTTAAAATTGGTGTAAATATGGCTAATAATAAATAAACTTGAAAATAAACACAATATATATTTTAACAAATACACTTATAACTAATTAAGAATTGAATTTATATTCATACAAGTAGTTTCATATTTATATCTTGATATTACACATTACCTAGTTCTGTCGTAAATATTGTTACAAAGAAATATATACAGATTTCGACACAAAAATTAATTTTTCAAAAACCTTATTAGAAAATAAAATGTACATCTATAGAGAGTAAAACAAAAAACAAATTACTCAAAGTGTCCCACTTTTGCCTTGACACAGGCATTTAATCTCCATGGCCACTCAACAATAGCAGCATGCAGCACTTCTTGAGGAAAGCGCTCAACTGCTCGGACCAGAGATTGTTTGAGGCTTTCCAAGTTAGGGTGTGCTCTTTGGCATGTCATCCTCTCCAGTTCTGGCCAAAGCCTTTGGCTCTAGTGGGTTGAGATCAGGGCTTCCTGAGGGCCAATCTGAGGCAGAGATGAACTCTGGAATTTTCTTTTGCAGCTACTGCTGAGTTGACCTTGCCTTGTGAGCTAGAGCGGAATCCTGCTGGAAAACCCAATGACTTCCAGCAAACAGAGTATCATTTAGAGGCCTGACAACAGGTTCCAAAATATCGTTCTGATAGTTTTTAGTGGCTGTTTTGATTCCTTTTTCACAAAAATAGAGCTTTGTGGTGCCATCAAACTCACCACCACACCATCACTGAGGAAGGGTGATGACCTCTTTTCACTCTTCCAATTACTTCCTGGACTTCTTTAGAGGTTTGTATGTACACACAATCATTTTGGCGATTAAATTTGTCTTCAATTGTAAAAATTTTCCCATCGTTAAACAAAATCTTTCGATGAAGACCATTGGTGTAACGGCCAAGGAGCACTTTGCATCTAACCACTCTCATTTTTTTTTAGGGGAGTGGTTAGCCTTTGTACTGTTATTCTTCGAAATGCACCCATCCTAAGGTCACTTTTTATTATGCGAGACATTGATCAGACAGAGATTTCTATTTCCCGAGACATGATTTGTTGTTTTCGAAGGGGAATCAAGCAGATACTGCTCTCACTGCATTTGCTGTTCTCATAGTGTATATTAAACAATAAATTTCATTGTTACCTTAATTGAGTACTCCATCTAAATATCCATATTCAATGTCATTCTCGGTAATCTGAGAAGAATTCAATCATCCTAATATTTTAGGTTTTTCCCTTGGTCATCGATGGAGGGACTAATTTATACTGTCCTGGTGAGGATGGTAAAAGGGAGAGGGGTTACTCTATTATTTTATCCAAATTATGGTTTTTAATTGGCTTTTAATTTAATTATTGTATTATATCCAAATATTGTTCATTACATTAGCATAGAAGGTATTTATATTGCCCACATCTGTATGGTGGTTTACGGAACTTTTCAAATTTTTAGTGATATATACCGACACAATAATTTTTCTTTTATTGTTATTATTTTCCTTATGTATTATTTTTGTATTTTTGAAATCTAATTGATGTATGTTCTATGTTGTGTGTTGTGTAAGGCCGGTTGATGTCTTTGATTTGGACTTGCAGTTTTGTTCATGTTGTTTCAGAGAATTTTATTATATTTGTTAATAGTGGTCAGTTTTTACCTGTTCTTTTTTAGTGTTTTGTACAGAATTTAATTACTTTTCAAATGATTGTATAAGCAGCTTACTGTAAAACCTATACTTTTTGAGTTATGACAAATCAATATTTTATGTAATAAAATTAATAACTTTAATAATTTTTTCTTGGGAATGTGTCATATCTAACAATTCAATTTTAAGGAAAATAAGTTAGGTAACTAACTGCATTAATTTCTTTTAAATTGATTGAATGATAGTCATGAAAACATCACAAATACAACAAAAAGTAGAAATACGGTACAAATTATAATAAGGAATTTATAAGCAATGAAATAAGAAAGATTTTTTTAACTTTTTGTAAAGTTGTAAGAATGGAGTAAGGTAGTATTAGAATTTATATCATGATATATAAAAATTTCAAGAATTATGGGGGAGAATAATTAAATCAAAAACATTTTAGCACTACAGTTCGTAAAGTCTGTTTTTCACTCATTGTGTACCAGATATTGAGAATAGGATGCCCGAATTGGTTCAGATGAATTATATGATCAAAAATCTACAAAATAAAATAAAAACAGCCCTCCCATTATAGCACAGATGTACAGACAGATCAAAAATACATTTTAAGAGTTTAGAGGGCTCTGAAAAAAATAGATCGATTAAAAACTACCTATTGAAAAATTGACCTTATTAAAATAATACTCTTACTTAGTAATGGCAGGAAAGTAAATGAAATGAGCAGAAAACATTTGTATTTTTATTATCTGTTAATGCAAAAAAGTAACTTTGTTCCAAAATTAACAATAGAAAATGGTTTTAATAAATAAAACTGGACTCTAATGCCGGTGACGCAGCTGAGAGAGAAGTGCTGAGATCTCTTAGAGCCTCACCTTGTCCTTTACACATGTGGAAAAGAGCTGGACTCGGAGCTTCCTTGGCTGATTGTAAATATTATAATTAAGTATGACTGTTAGTTTTGTTTTCTTTTTCTCAATTTATTCATTTCTAATAATTTATTATCATTAATATTTAATTTTATTCCCTTAAGAATTGCCTGTATTATTTCTTTTAAGTTGTATTTCTTTGTTTTTATTACAGTTTTTAACTTTGTTATATATACATTATCTTTTATATATATATATATATATATATATATATATATATATATATATATATATATATATATATATATATATATATATATATATATATATATTTATGTGTTTCATTTTTTTATTTTATTTTATTATATTGTAAATATGGTATGAATGTGCCTTACAGCTTTAATACTCAGTACCCTTGAGTGTGGTAAAATGTATTATACCTCCATAAAATGATTAAAAAGTGAAAAAATAAATAAAAACCAAGAGACCATGTCATTGTCTTTCACAGCAAGTCTTAACTGTCTAATAAAGTCAAAACTTTACACTTTAAAATTTTATCAAAAGGTTTTTGCTATTGTAAAACTGTTGTTAAGGTTTGTGAGAATGGTTTAATCTTATTTTTTTATTTTCAACCTTAAAAAACAATTAAAATTAGATTTCACAGAAGGATAAATAAAAAACACAAACATTGGTTATAACAATTTTTATTAAAGGCATTTTGATTACATTCAGACCTAGGTAATGGACATTTCTAACACACAGTTTTAGAACAATCCTCAATATTGCTAGAACAAAGTTTCTTACATCTTTCTGTTTACATTCAACATAACTAATTTATTAAAAGTAGGATTCCTAAGCTTTGACTACAATAAACAATAAAAATTCCAAATGATGCAAAACACAAAAATAAACAATTACAATATTCATTTTTTAAACAACTGTGTTTGATGTTTAATAAACTTCTATTACACGGATTACTATATATCTTTTTAATTTGATTATTTTTACCATTTGTTATAATTTTAATATAATAATTATTTAAGTATCATGTCAATAGAGAACTTACAGTAATTAGTCAATATCATATCGCCCATAACATTTTTTATATTCGCTCTGATCATGTCGACAACAGTCCCTAAGGCTGTTTACGTTAACCAAAATCCCAGTGCCAAAGTGATCGATGCAACATGGTGTCCATAATGTATTAGTAACATGTTGACAAGTGCTTTCAAAACTAAACAAACCTCGCATTCACATCTGCTCTATTATGTTTTAATTTTTTTTAAATTTTCCCAACAGAAATAAATGCCCTGTTAGTTATTTAAGACCTAAGCAGCACAAAATACATATTATTTTGCATTATAACTTGGTTATCATTAAAAAAAAAGTTTGTAAACTAACAATTACATTAATACACACAAACTTAGATAAACATACATTTAACATAATATAATCTGAAAATTATAAAAAAATATCAGGTTTAAATTTAATTTACTTTTTGAGGTAATGGATCTCTTAACTCAGACTAAAAAGAAAAATAAATTGATAAAACAAACTGATTTACTTTTCTTAACACTTTTGTTTTGTGTGAGATCATTCTTTCCCTAAGTTCTGAGGTAATAGATACAAACCAATTATTTGTTACAAAGTTTATATATATATCGATAATCCAAAATATATTCGTTAATTCTTTTTTTTTAAATTCTTAGTTAATTCACATCGACTCGACTAATATGACTATCCCTACAAGATGTTCATAGTTAGCGACAATATTCCCGACTAATCATCATAATCCTAGTGAGCGTACATATTCTACAAACATCAAAAGATGACAATATATAATGTTGTATAGCAGTGTAGTTTATTAAGAGTAATAAATTTATAATTACTGACAATATTATGACTACAGTTATCAACAGTAACTTTCAGCTACAAAAATAACATGATTTACTATACACTTGTTACAGACAGCAGTAGTAAATATTATACAAATGCAACATGGTTTAGAAATGTTAGCGATGACACATTCACTATTCGTGCTCTCATTGGTCCTTGCATTTTATTATTATTCGTAATAAACCAGGATCAGTTTTAAAATGAATTAATACATATATATATTTATATATAAAAATTCATAAAAAAAATATTCATGAGCTAGGATAAACTGACTTTATTTTTCAAAAATATGCATCAATCTTTATCAATTTCAATTAGTAATTCTGATTGAAAACATATTGCAGCTGGTGAATTCACATTTCAACAAATGGTTAGTTAGATACATGTAATGGTTTGTCTAAAATAGAGATATATAAATATTGCTTCTTAGTGAATGCATCATTGAAAAAGTTGAGGAGAAAGTATCATATTTGTATTATAATTGAAATATTCTAAACGTACCGTTCCTTATTTGCACAGCCGACAACATCTAACAACATTCCTTTAAAAAATATTCAAGAAATAAAAAATTAAAAACCAAGAGGCATAATAAAATATTGATTTGTTCAGAAATAGATAATCAGTTAACACACAGACTGGATTTTCATGCAATTACATACATAAATCGCATTTTTTTTTTTAAGCATCTCATGGAATATCTGCCTGAATCAATGCATTTTGATGATAGAAAGAAGAGGAAGATGTGTTAAAAACGTCGTTTTCCATTTAGAAACATCCATTTATTTTTTTCATGTAGTTTCCTTTGAAACTTTCTAAACATTATTTATTAAGTAAATTTCAATGTTATTTTAAACAGTGAAAAGTGATACTTTAAATCCCAATTGGTTTTATCATACAAATAAACAAAAATTTGGCTGAAGTTAAAAAATTTAGTTTTTATATAATGAATAATTGTATTTATTTCATAGAAACAGATTTTCAATTCATTTTTTATTCCTTACTTTAACCACTCTTATTTAATATATTATAGTGATTTGAGAAAAGAATTATTGTTTACTGTATTTATTTAATTATATTGTTAAGTCTTTTGGTTTATTTTAATGATATTATTTTATACAAATTTTTAACACTTTATGCTCCATATGTCATGTTTTTTAGTGCATCAAAATCCAGTCTTAGCTTATTAACAATACTACTCCTTAGATAATTAAAAACTATTTAAATGTATAAATATGTAAAATATAAATAAGATGTGATACTTTGACTCAAAAATAAAAATGAGGAAATTAAGGAAAAAAAAAACAAATATAATAAAAAAAATAAATAAAATGATGAATTATGTAAATGTATGTTTTATTAAATATATATATATACTTTTTACATAATAAAAATTACAATTAAAAGAAGACACTAGTAAATCATCCAAATCACATAGTACCATTAGTGTTTGAATATAATACATACACAAATAGTACAACAGAATAATACTGTAATTAAGAATGTAATTACTCAGATCTAAATGATAACTTTTAATTGTGTAATTCAATATTTATTTATTTATAATGTATACAATCTAAGTACAACGAGTAGTAATTACACTACCTAACAAAATGCTATGCTCTTGTACTACCCCTAAGCAAGCACGGATATTTTACCAATTAAAGGTGATTACAATGTTTACTTTAATCCTAGGCAGCCCCGACTATAAATTAGGGGTACAAACTAAAAAACGGAATTCAAACAAAACGAAAAAACATAAAACAAAATAACTAGCTCTAAGATGGCCTCTTTTCATTAATTTTCAGCAAATAGCATTCGGTGAAATGACAGCTAACAGTTACAGATCTTGAAACACATTGATTCTACAAAAAATTAAGCTGCGATGACTAGCAGAATCCATTTTTTTTTTTTTTTTGTTTATTTTTATGCTTTTTATAATTGCATTATTTTTTAAGGTCTTACATAAAATGTTAAACAATTGAAAGCCTTACTCCTCTGAGAAACATCAACGACTGGAAACACTGATAATGTAATTCACATGTTCTCAGATTAACGAGTCGCCTTGGAATCGGATGTACATCACTAACAATACATAGTCAAGTTATGTGAGGTACACAATACAATATAAATAATCCTTAAAAATATATAAGTTAAACAAATTCCTATTAAATAACATTAACAAGTATATTATACATACATAGTATTAACAAAGTCGATTATCAACAATAGCATCCTCCAGGTCAAGACAACGCACGAAATTATCAAACATAATAATCATTGGTCAGGTAACTGTAGGCGTAGTTATTAAAAGCTTTGACAATATCGTCAAGGGAGGAGTTATGTTAATCACACCAACTACTACATGCATCCTTTTCATTTGACACATTATAAATTAACAAAAATATACAATTCTCTATCTGCTTATAATAACAATGCTTATGAATCGCTTTTTTATTATTAATTCATTTCTTTAAAAATGTTTTATATATATAAATTTTTTTTGAATATATATATAAATTAATATATTTTTGAAAATTTGAATTGACACATACTAAAGGTCACAGGCTGATTACACTTAAGTCTATATAAAGGCCCAACATTCCAGTGTTTTGACGACAAAATCTTGTTGGGGCGAAAGAGGTTCGTTTCCATAGGTGGCACATGATTCTGTCCTCCCTTGGTAGAGGTCTCCATCGAGCCAAAGCCCAAATTTTCCACTGAAAATTAGAATAATACATTGATAAATCATATCACAAAAACAAAAGGTAAGACAAAATAAAGCTTACAAAAAATACATATCTTATTGTAATCACTTTAAACTTTATTAAACAAACTTATTTAAAATCATTTGAAATTTAATTATAGATGAACTATAAAATGAGCTAGCAAATAGGTTCAAAATGTTCGATATAAAATTTTAGATATTTAGAATTTATTAGTTTAATTTCCATTAGTCTTCTTATTATTAGGATTTTCAATCTCCTCTCATACAATTATAGATAATAGCAATTGATCTACAATATCTTCTCCTAGCGAGAAAAATCTCAGAGTCCTTTTTCCTTTTGATAATATACAGGAATGGGACTAAGACACAATAGTTAAGTGGGAAATAAAATACTTTAACATAAAGCATTCTTTAGCATAAAGCATTAAGATAAACTTAAAACTTTTTTTTTTCTTACATGAAAATAAAGCGTTCTTTAAAGAGGTGATGAATGGACTTGTTTTGATTTGAGAAGAATGAAATGATAAGATAGGAACAATATCGTATCATCAAAATAAATTCCAGTATGTGTAATCATTCACTCACTCATTTCATATTCCAACAACTTTTATAATCTCAAGAGCAAAAATGTTGTTTTTAAACTAACTTTTTAATTTTAGTTATTGGAAAAGTTTGTATGAGCCTTGAAATTTTGAAAAAAATTTCTTATCAAAAAGATATTAGAATTACTTTTATTGCAGGAACCATTTCTTAACAAGTTTGCTAAATACTTTCAAAATCAAACATATTTAAAAAAGTTTAAACTTTTTCGACCTCCTGATTCCAGCTTATTTATACAACAATTGAATCTAAATGCATAAAACCATATTGACATTATAGACAAGGTAGAATTAAAAAAAAATATATATCTAACGGTATTATCTTGTAAATTCGGATAACTATATAAAATACAAAAAATTATTATTAGTAATTTCACTTACTCTCCAGCTCCGATGGAAAGGGATTCATTGTTTCCTTTGATGAAAAACATGTTATCTCCAGTCCAATTGTAAACTTGGAATTCTGGGGCAAACCTAAAAAGTAAGCTCTCTCCGGTACCATAAAAGTGGTCGGATACCTGAAAAAATTAAAAAAAAAATTGTTAACATTTTTAAAACAAAACAAAAGTTTAAATACATAATCATGCTTTAAATTAGATTTAGTTGACAGATGTAAATATAATTTTAGATACCTTCAAAGAGCAGGAGGTAAGGGCCCCAAAGACATTGTTGTCAGTATCCTGAATAACCATCAAGATAGGACTTTCAACCCTCGACATCTTTCGGTACATTGAGTTAAGTGAGAATCCATGTTGAGATGTACTGAACACCAAGGTCCACACGTAGCCTGCAGAAGAAAAACGAAACATATAAATATATTTTACAATGATAAAAATGAATTACTATAACCCATATAGGTGGAGAAACAGTAAGAGAACATGTTAGGTGGTTGCAGTCGGTGAAATATACAAAAAATAATTTTTTATCTTAATGTTGAGATTTTGACAAATAATAATAAGAATGAGAAAGCAAACTTATAAAAAATATTTAATTAGCCCTGACAAAGGCCTTAGACTGAAATGTCGGCACAAAGAAAATAAACTTTTGTATGCTTCAATAACTTCTATCACCAACCAACTTACTCTTACAATATATTGGATATTATTAAATCAGTTGGCTTGTGAGTATAATTTGTTCAGCGACCATTGACTGAATGGTAATATAATATGGAAAACAACTGCAATAGATTTAAAGAAGGGGAATTTTATTTTTTCTTACTCAATTACAACGGTTTTCCATTGAAAATAATAAACCAGAACATATGTGGAAATTCTAAATTGCTGTCTTTATAAGATGAGCCTTTCAGTTGACAGAATGACTAACTCCAATTTCATCATTTTTGAGTAAAGTCATTTTAGTGATTTTTCTAGTTGGAAAATTCATAATATCTATATAGAAAATGAATAAGTTGATTCCTGAGTAGTGGATTACAGTGCCGAAATATAGAACTTCCAATAAAGGTATAAATTTTTCCACTAGAAATATTACTAAAATTAATAATAAAAATGTTGAAATTGGAGTTAGTCATTCTGTAAGTAGGTTGAAACATATGCTGTATACATATAACATATAGTATATGTTAAGGACATCCGCCAACCCCTCGATTAACTATTCATTGAAATTATTTTTTACTCGTTAAAGAATAGAAACATTAAAATAAAATGTAAACATACCCTCTGCCCTGGCAGGAAGGTGCCTGTAGAGCTGCTGCCTGTGTTCCTCGGACAATATCTCCGTAGTGCCAGAGAGCTCGGGGAGGAACGGCTCTAGGTCCAGCGAAGCGGCGCTGCTGGCGTACAATGCCCGCCTCAGCTCCCCGCTCATTGACAGCACCTGGACAAAATAATGTCATTCGTTAATATTCAATTCATTGATATAATGTTTGTACACAACTAGCAACTAATACTTTTACAACATTGACAATTTATAACATGCCTATCGCAAAGGTGTAACAATAAAACTCACAATTAATACTTAAACAAACCCTCCATTCCAACTAAAATTAATAGAACCACTAAAAACAACATTTAATGCTACTTTTCAAATATTCAACAGGTTACCTGCTTCCGAATATGATAAATAGGTTAAATAGAAAAATCTTTGAATCTTTTTTAGAAATTAATCATAATTTAATACTAAATCCTAATTTATTTTGCAATTTAACCAAAAAGTGGTAGTTTATATTATATAAATTCTTATCAGAGAAAATTGTATAGATTGAATGTATATATGCTCATATCCGATACCATAAACCAGCATTATTTCGGAACTGGGAGAGGACTAAGTACCAGAGTTTATTCTTAATTTGATATCGCCTCGCTTATTGGAGCTTTGTTATATCAAGACTAAAGGGAAGTCATCTGAATACAAAATGTTTTAGCCAACCAGGTAATTTCATATTTAAAATAAACTCTACTGCATAGCCATCCTCTAGTCCCAAAGGCGTAAACCCTGGTTTACGGTAACTCATAAGATACAAGAATTATTTTATTCTTTTAATGAAAGAAAGTCATGTATGTTTGTTCCTCAATTATGTTCAATTATAAATAGATAGATTAGATGTATATTTTAACACATGAATTAATAATATATGGAAAATACAAACAAAAAAAATTAAAATAATTAGTAAATAATCATTTTAATCTGTTGAGACTGAATGAATAAATTTATTAGATAAGTCGTTCATTGGAAGAGTTAAATAAAATATATGAATATTTGAGATTTAGAATTCCATAACCAGGCAAAACCATTTTCAATCTTTTATTTATTAATATTGAACTGAAAATTTGTTAATTCAAGTGTGGTCTAACTGTCGAATAATTTTTTAAAAAATTAAATGAAAAGATAATTTTGAACGAAATGAACACTTGTCTCATTTAATACTAAAATGATGATTAAATATTTGTTGATACTTATTTTCTATATTTAGTAAGAAAACAGTTTCGACATACTAATTTACTAAGAATTTATAAGACTATTTATCAATCATATCATATCCTAAAAGCAGATTCAGGATTTAATATTTAATAGGGGGTGAGGTTCACATTATTTCTTTTTTAAATAATCATAAAATTACAAGTGCAATAATTTTCTTTTAGGGATAAAACTTTTATATTTTGTCTTTATACATGCTTACATTCAGTAACTGAAGTGAATGAATTATAATTATGAATCAGAGAACATATAGTGCTTGTTTAAGTATTCAGCTCCCATGACTCATAGGAATAAATACAGAACAAGGAAAAAAATCGATATTTTTTTTTTTAACGGGGCATCCCCTATTCAATTCGCTAGTGGGTTTCATGATTAGAATAAAACATTAAATTTCTTTCAAGTTCTATTCCTCAAATTAGAATTTCTTGGTTACATTAAAAGATATATGTATAAAAAAAAAGTCTTGAAACCATAATTGGCAGCATTACCAAACAGCCAATCTGGGAAGCCTTGAAAATAATATAACCCTTTCTTATTTATTTATTTTTTTTTTTTGTGCGGACCATTTTCTTATGAGATTGATTAGCATGTGCATGTGCTTCTCTGGATGATTGTTTTGTTAGGTTTAGATGTGGCATGTCAAATATAATCATACACAGTTAATAGAATAAGTATCGTTTTTGTTATTATTATTACCTTTATATCTATCTTTAATTATCTGTATGTTGTATATCTGTGTCCTGGAAGTAAACGATACAATGTCCATTTTTTAATTTAATAATTTAGTAACAAAGAAACAAATTTTAATAGCTCAAAGTTGCGGAACATTGGCATCGTTGAAGAAATACAAAAATAGACATGGTGCTGTTTACTTCCGTAGTATAGATATAGTCATTATGTTTAAACTTTCTCTTTTTCCTTTGCTTTATTATTATTATTATTATTTTTTTTGGGACATATTATTAATTCTGTATATATTTGTTTCTGTAAACAGGTCACTAACACGAAACAACCTTTATTTTGCTGCTTTATAAAATCCAACCTGACCCTTTCATCTCAGCTAGCATGAATTTTATTATGGCAAGAGATTATTCAATGGGTAAATATTTATTTATAGTATCTATATTTGTCTCTTTGGAGATTAAAGGCAAAATGGCAAGACACCCAAGTTCACCACAGAAAATTATTCTTATAAAATTTGTTTTCTTTAATTATCCTTTTTTTGTCATAAAATAATAATTTTATTATTTATACAGAGGATATGTTCTGATATAAATCTATTATTCTTTCGAAAAAGGTAATCCAAGGAAAGCTATTATCTTCAAACATGCAGTCTAAATCCCTTGGTCAACTTTTTTCATTCGAGTTGCGCAGATGAAACTTCGCAAATAGCTTCCAGTTCGAAAAGAAGAAAACTCTTACGGGCACAGGTCCTATCTATATTTGTTACAAACAACCTTTTCTACTTCAAACGGTCCACATTTAAAAGCGAAGGCCGTTCGTGAAGCGAGAATGCAGTCCCACAGATAATACTGGCATTCGTTCGTCCTCAACAAAGTTAAACCTCGCCTTATGAACAGTTTGCATAAGAAAAAAATAATTTCTTAAAATTGTTTATAAGTATTAAATAAAATATTAAAAATCTGCAGACACACGAAAATTTATAAAATGGCGATGATGGGTTAGACATTTTGAGTGAAATTATATTAACGTAACGATTCGGGCCTAAATCGTAACTGATAATGGCTCAACAAATTATGAAAGAGATTCTATTGATGAAGAAGAAGCCATTCTATGAGGCAAGATAAAATCCCATAGGCCTCTGCAACTTTTTAGTAAATCGGAAAGTCATTTTCTTGATATTGATAACTATTTTAAAAAAGAGCTTAAAATTAGAATATGACAGGCCCAACTCATACTCCACAAAGTTGAAATTAAGTTTTTAATTTTTTCTTAATATCAATTTTTTTTTTTATACAAAAATACATATAAATTACAATATTAAACAATATCATATTGTAACATACGTATTTATTAGTAAATATTTAGTTAAGAAATCGGAGGGTAAGAAAAAAAAATACACAAGTTTCAACATACTACAATTGCTACTGAAATATACCTCAGTTGACCATATATTTAGAGATTATTTATTCTAAACGCGAAATATGAGTTAAAATAAGACATCAATGGAAAATCGAACATGAGTTTCTCCAGGAGAGAAAAGTCAATTAATACCAATTATAAGAAAATTGGAGAAATTAAATAGAAGTGTTATTTAGGCATAAATAAAGCATTATTTATAAAATACCACTAAATATTAACAAACAGCAAACGTGACCTAACATCATAAGAAGTGTCCATGGGTTATAAATAAAATTAAAAAATATAATATTTGAATTTTCTTTGGATAAAAAAAGTAATCACTACTTACTAGCTGGTTTGTGTGATTTCTAATTATTTTGTATTTAATACTTTTATTTATAATTCTAGGAATGTATATTTCTGATAATGAATCGTCGAATATACATATAATATAGGGGTAGAGCTCTGATTATTGTAATAGATAAGGCGATTTTCTTTTGAGACTCCTTAAAGGATTACTAACCGGCTTTTAATAATTCGAGATTAAGTTTAATGAGATTAGATAAACCAGATCTATCCGGTAACAGGGATTATATCGGAATGATTGATGATATTTTCGACATAGTCCGAACAATATGTTAAGTAGCTAACAAACAAAGAATTAAATGGAGTTTAAACTGGACGTTCGGCAAAATTTTTGCTGGTGGAGTATTTTTCGCTAGGCTGGTGAGGAATCGAGTCCCCACACATTTGCCTGCACACAAATTATTAACTGTTTGCTGAGCACAGGCTTGGGGGAAAGTTCTCCAGAGGTCAGTATATTACACCATCTGGTGCAATTAAAAAAGATTTCAAGAGACCCCCCCCTTCTTTGCAGTTCCCTTCCACTTGGTCCGACATCCGAGTTTGGAACGCAGTACTTTTAAAAATAGCTCCCAAAGAGTGCCATTATCTCAGACCTACTCATTTGTGAAAAATATCTCGTTAACGACGGGCAATTAGATTAACTGTTAGCTGATGTGATTATAATTGGGCCTAGTAAATGGAGTCGTAAAACGAAACACGAATTCTTGTAAATCTTCCTATAGTAAATTCACATGTAATTTAAAAAAAATTGTATATATATTTATATAAATACAAATTTCCTATTCCTGCTCACTTAGGCCCTAAAACAACACCTTATAAAGAATCAAGTTGTTAAAGATAATTTTAAAAGTCAATCACGTAACTAGTGAGTTCACACAGTCTTCCTTCAACCATAGGAACAGACTTTCCATTTTGGTTGGGGGGGGGGCGGTGGTAGATCCTCTCCCCCCCCAAAAAAGTCTCGGGAGTTTATATTATCTATAAAAATTCTGAGTGACAACTAACATAATAATCGTAAAACGAACAATATAATACTATATATAAAAATAAATTTATATAAATGTTTATTCATTACTTTTTTATTTCATTTAAAGCATGGTTCTCTAAACTTTTTAGTCCGCGAGCCAAGCCTTTTGACGATAGAAAAAATATGGTTATATAAATAACAATTAATTAGTAAAATGAGTATTCTAAGATAAATAAATCGTGGAATAAATGTTGTAAACCTCGTGTTTGAGTGATTTACTAAATTATATATTTCTTAAATATTTTTTAAAATTGTAATATTTAATCTAGGAAACTTTTGAGGGCCGTAGTTTGGTGACTACTGATTCAAAGATTTGAGGCAGTGAGATGAACTCCAGCCAACGCTGTTCAAATTTGCCGCGGAAAATGTGATAAAATCCTAAGATATATAACAACATATAATTATCTTTAAATATAAACTATCTTTTTTTCTTCAAAATATTTGTGTAGGGGGGGGACTATATTCTCAACCTTCTCTCTATTCTCATTGGGCGGTTTCCTTCATTGAGAACAGAGATAAGGTTTAGAATGACAGTTCTTCTACCGCGTAACAGCTGGTGGGAGAAGTTAGGGAAAGGCCGCCCCGAGGTGGTTGACTCTAGTGAAAGCTGCTATGTCCCCATTAACGCTTCGTACACACAGAGAGGCTCAGGTGACTACGCGATATTGTGGATAATTCACAAATCACGAGGGGAAATTTAATGCAAGAATAGAAGATTTCTACGTTACGAGACATTATTCTTTCAAATGTCATAGTGTGGAATTTTTTTTTTTTTTAAAGACTTATACTTAAAAAATAATTATACCCGGACTAGCTTCAGAAACGAAATAACCAATGATTATCAAACAGCCTTTTAATTATAATTGAGAACGTTTACAAGGCACAAGGCTCAGGCTAAATACTAAATTATTATGCTGCTATCTATATATTAACTACTAATTTTATAATTTCATTAATAATATTGATATTTGTATATATATATTTTTTAATTTATGATATAGACCAAACAGTTAGGCAGTATAACTTTCTAGACCCTTTTGAGCGACTACTGTGGAGGGGATAAATTCCTCACAGGGGCATGTATGCTATGGAATTTTCTCTCGTGTGTTGTGTAACGTGTCTTATTTTTAGAACACAGAATACAATTGTTTATTTTACTGCAAAAGTTAATATATTTATATAATTTTGAAAGATTGTTAATTAATCTTTTTTCAAGATAATGATCATAATCAAATTAAATTTTGACAAAAAAGTATTGTACAGCTCACAAAATCAAAACTATTACTACACACGCTTGGCCTCATATCAAAGACGGACATCTGTCATTTTCATAAAGCGGAATAAAAAGTCAAGTTTTGTTTTGTAGGCTCAAATTAAACTTATTTCTGATGATTTTATTTAAGAATGTTCCAGTTAAATCATGAAAAAAATCGGCTAAAATTAAAGCTCTTTGAGAAAAAAATGGCATTTTTTCGACTTTTTAAAAATGACGGATTTCCATATTTGATATGAAGCCACTTGCATATATGATGGATAAATTGAATTCATGATAAACATCAATTATTATTTAAAATGTATCTTTAAATTTATAATTGTTACAGAATATTGACTAAAAACAGAAAATAATGTACATGAAAAAGAATTCGCAAACGGGCAAAAAAAAATCAATAGGATTTTCTTAACGTATCTACTATGGGCGGATCCTAACTGTAACATTTTTTTTTTTACATTTTCAACGTGAAAAAAGTTAAAAAAATAAAATAGAAAAAATATTTTCACTATTTTTATTTCATATTATAAGTTATTATCTTTATTTTCCATTAAAGTTGTAAAGGTTGATTCATTAAACATACAAATATGACACGTAACGTTGCGTAATTGAAGAAAACGACCAACCCGGAAATGCAAAAGGAAATAATATATATTCAACTTTTATGAATTGCTGCTTGGAAAAAAAAAAATCATTAACTAATTACAGCAAGAAATCCCAACATTTTCGATCAATTTGGATTAATAAAATCGAATTCATTAGTAAAGAAATAATAACTTTTCTTTTTTTAACAAATTATAATAACTATTAAGTTTCTATATTTTAAGATAAAAATAAAAGTATTTTTTGAATTTTAATATCATTTAGATTGAGTCAAATGTTCACTATATGTTTTATTCTATAATAAAATTCAAAATTTCAGTTCTAATCCAAATTGATCAATACGCTTTAAATTTCTAGTTGTGATTAGAATATTCTTTCAAATCTGCCAAATCAAAAAATGGATTCATGATTTGTTTTCAACAGAGCAATTCAGAAAAGCTGAATATATATTATGTTCAGATGCTTTTACAGATTGGTAGCTTTATTCAATAAAGCATTTACAATTTCAATGGAAAATAAACAAATTTACTATTATTATTATTAAAAAGATGTATCGTCTTTATTAAGAACAATTATAATTTGTAATCTTTGAAGAATTAAGCTCACTACTCGACAAGATGGATGATACGATACAATTAAAACAGCACTTTACCTTTGTCTTGTTCTTGAGGTACTTGGCCAACTTGGTCAACGACTTCGACTTAGGCATGTTGATCCTCTCTTAGTTGATCCTCTCTTTGTCAAACTTCACGACAGACTAAACAGCTCAGACTACTTGAAGATATTTTTATACTGACTCCGTAGCTCTTCAAGGGGTGCTCATCCTGCCCAAGCAGACACAAACAGATATAACTCAAACTGTGACCTAACTCAAACTGTGTGACCAGAGGTGCAAATGATTCATACCCTACGGTATAGGGATTCCGATGACGCATCCTGACGAATACCGCGAAGATGAAAACATCCTTATCTTCGACAGGTGCTAAGATAACGCAATGCGTAGAGGGTGTTGTATTTATATTACAGTTTCGAGTATCAGCGAGGAAGTATAAATAAAATTTCGAGGAAAAAATCAGTTGAAAAAATAAAAAAGTAGTAGCTGCAAAAATGGCGTTTGCGATTCTAAAACTTTTCTCGGATATTGCATCTTTATAATCTTTGCTTCCTATAGAAGTTTAAAAGTTGTATAATAATTCATGTAGCTGTTAGAACTGTTTGAATTTTAAACAAACCTTTTTTTTTTTAGAAAAAAATTTAGAAATGGTGGTTAAGTTTAGAATTTCTTTTTTGTTTCTGTGCTTTTTATTTTTAATAAAACATATTGGTTAAGCGAAAGAAAGATCCTCCAGGATGTTCTTGGACTCTACAATTTATTTTCTTATTAGAGATTACGTAAGCCCATCGATATCTCGGCTATTAATGAATATTCAAGAAAAATGTAAAGTTTTGAAATAGTTATATCAAATTTTAAAACATAATTAAAAATATTATTTATTAAATTTCAATATAGAAAATATTACAATTTTTATTTTATAATGATTTTTATAATGATCTGATTTTTTTTTCTCCAGGCGAGTTTCGATTTAGAGAAATTAAAAATCCAAGATTTAAAATATTCTGACGATTAAAACGATTAAGAGGTCGGTAATTTATGTCTTGGGGGAAAATAATTGATTAAAAGTTCTACTAAATAATCCTACCTAGCAAAAAAAAAATCATGAATATCTCCGAGCCTAATAGAATAGAACAACTCAATTGCTCAAAAAATAAAATTCCCGATAAATGTATTTTTTTTTACATTTTATTTTGGTTTTGTATAAGTTCTATTATTTAGTCATTTTTTTTTTACATTAATAATGAAAAATGTATAATTTTAAATATTATTAATATAAAATTGCTGTGTTCTTTTTTTTTTATTTGTCTATAGACCACGTTTTTAGTTATTTCTTATACTTTTTTTTTATGAAGGAATTATTTAAAAAAAATTGTTTCGCTGATATAATCAAGAAAAGTATATTACCTCAGTATACTATGAAGTATTTTAATTTCTTCATTAATAGAGATTCAGGACTCAATAAAACCGATATGAGCACTACGCATAAATTAATCGACATATCTGATCAGATGTAGATAAAACAGCAGTGGCATACATTCTTTCAAGGTATTGAACGATCGTTCGAGATGGAACACGAACGATTCCAAGCAGCAAATTCCACTTCCAAAGAGGTAGGTCATGGCAACCTTTGGGGGCTCGCCTTCCAAAGAGGAAACAAAACACTCGCAAACAACACAAGATCTCCTTGGCGACGGTATCGCGTCACAATATAATTGAACGCTTTATAAAAACGGGAAATTGAGGTCACTCATCTAAGATTACAACATACGTATTAAATCTTTTCGAGACTTTGCGAAAAAATATTACTAGGAATCCTGAGTCTATAAAACACAAGGCAAGGAGGAAATAATTTTATTTGCACAACTATCCCTCAATGGCGTCCGTCTCTTGTTAACGAACGTCTATTTTTAGACTGGTTTTTATCAGTCATAAAACCAAATCAATATTTAATACGAAAGTTCTTTATCGATCTCAGAGAATTTAACTACAAAAAATGAATTTTATATTAAAAATCTCTAATAATGATCGAAGAGTTAGTTAAAAAAAAAAAATTGTAAAATAACAATTTAAAATATATATATATATATATATATATATATATATATATATATATATTTTCGGTGATAAAAAATAACATAAAGCAAAAATGATCATTTTAATTATTTTTATTATTATATTTATTTTTCTTCAAAAATCAAGATGTTTTGATTAGGTAAATAAGAAACGTGCTTGATTTTGATTAATTTGACTATCGTAAACTTGTTGGTAATACCTATTACTTCCATCCTTTAAGAATTGTAATTCACATTTAGCATCATTGGTTTTTAAAATAAAAACAAATAATCAGTCAAAAAATTCTCAACAATATCAGCGAATAAAACTTCTACGAAATTCAAACATTAATTACAATAATTAAAGAAGAATAGCTAAGTAATTCCAATTTTTTTAAAAAATATGATCGTAAAAATATGATTTAGTAAAAAAGTAATAAAAATAATTATGTAAAACAAGAATGATGAATTTACTTTATTTTTTTATAAGAGCAAGATGTTTTGCTTAGACAAATGAGAAACGTGATTGATCGAGATTGGTTTTGATATCGTAAACTTGTTGTTGGGAAAACCTAGTATCCACTCTATAACATTTTAAATTCGTATTTAGCGCATCATTAGTTATTAAAATAAAAACAATAAAAGATTATTAATAAATTCTGATACAGATTTATTACATTTAAAAAATACTAATTTTTCATTTTTATCAAGTTAGTAAATAAAACGTTTTGTAAATCAATAAAATTTTTAATTTGTTATTTTATTTATTTAATTATATAAAATAAAATGTTTTGGGTAAGAAAATAACGAAAAAATATATATATTTTTTTTTTTATGATCAGGAGATAATGTGAATGAGAATAGAGCTTGATTGGTTTTGTTATAATTATAATAGAACTATATTGGATATAGTTGTTCGGAATTCATATAATAATATAAATTGCTTACGATATTCTTGGCTACTAAAATAAAGGAAATAAAATAATTGTACAATGCATACGTAATCTAGACATTTATATATTATTTTTAAAATTACTAGTAGTGATCGATATTTATATATTTTTTAAAATTATTTTAAGAAAAAAATTTATTTATAGAAAAAAAAAAAACAACAACACAAGGAATGGTTATTCGAAAAAAAAATTCCAAACAGTTATACGTAACTTAGATGATACGGAAAATAAACAACATCAACTTCAAATACACTTATTTTTGTATTTTTTGAGGATCTTAAGATTAAGTCAATAATTAAACATATTTAAGGGTTATAAAAATTGTTTTAAGAAAAAAATAAATATACAATAAAAATTACCTACAATTATTATAAGCTAGTGAGTAACTTAATTTAATCCGTAATTTATTGTGTAATAGTTACTATTTGAGTATTATCTTTTTCCATATACATGTTGTTTTTTTTTTCACTAAGGTGCATGAATATGAGAACAACAAAATCTCGAAATATATTTGTTTATATATTGACTGAATCTCAAGATCCTCAGAACATACAATCATCAAAAGTCAAGGAAAATAGAGTTTTTTTTCTTTTTCTTTTACTAAACAGAATTTGTTTTAAGATGACATATAAAACAATAAACGTGTTTAGTAAATCAACAAAAATTTAAACATTTCCCTAAAATAGAGTTGGTCCGTTATGTAAGAAACATTGGTTTGCAACAGTAAGCAAATTTGAATAATCTTATCGCAAAATTTTATAAACCGGGCTATGTCTTTGCCCGAGAAAAATTGGAGCAAGCAAACGGGACGAGTTTATCTCCTTTTTCTCATATCTCAATATTTATAAATACTGTAGAGAAAATTTTATTTTTTAAATTGCATAATGAATTTTCACTAAATAATCGACGAACAAAATGGGCATATTAACTGTTACGAGAAGTATTTGCTTTCAAAAGGTATAATAATAAATCGTAATATATAACTATAGTAAGATGTAATACAATAACAGAGAAAGGGGAGTTACTACGGTCCAAAACGCTTGATCGAATAATAACAGCAATTTCTTACTCGAGGTAATTGCAATTCTCCTCTTCATAATAGCAAAATTTATTGAACGAAGAAAATGAGCTGCAATCAAAGCTTCCAGATCCTATCTAGGGGGAACGCAAGTGAGTGGGTTGTCGGCTTAATAGGATAACTATATTTTTTTCAAAATAGGTGTAATAAAAAAATTATATTGTTAGGCCAAAAATATACTACAACTATATAACTGTTATTGACAATGCACAGCCCTAACTTGTAAACTAATTTACCAAAATAGAAGAACTGATCAAGAAATAAAATCCATTCTAAAACTAGAAAATTTAACGTATCTAGTAGTTTAGCACATCAGGAAGGTATGTTGTTTTAATTGTAGTTTTAGCACGATTTCACGAAATACAAACCTGGACATGGATATAAGCTTACAGAAAAAAGGAAACTTCTGGAATTGCTTGTAAATGTACCAAGACTGAAGGGTAAAACTTTAAAACAGGTAAAACATCTTAAATATGAACTGAATGCGTGACAAAATTTAATAACCTGATAAATAATACCATTATATAATTAAAATTCGCCAATCTCGAGCATTATAGAATTAGAAATGAAATTTATACTTGAAAGAGAGTTCAGGATTATTGAAGATTTACTGTGTTACTTATTGAAGTTATTAACTGACTTAAGAAAATAAAATGTTTCGATATAACACGCAAAAGAACAAATTCACTTATATTAATTGTAGAGTTTTGGAAGGTAGATTTAAATTGTTTTAGTTATTTAATGTTTGCTAAAAATATAGTTTTAGAATTAAACGTTTAGATTTGGGTATTTTAAAGCGGTAGATAAATTTAAACCAAGTTTTGGCATGAATGCTATAACTTTATCCAGGATTTAGCTGAATGTTTAAGCTTGTTCCTGTTTATTTTTGCTTTCTCAGAAACGAGAAAATCAAAGTGCCTAAATAAATTGGTTGAAAACAGAAGTGCCCAATATAAAAGAAACAGAAAATGGAGCTGTTCTTCTCGATTTACTTTTTCAATAAATTTTTAGTTCGTTGAAAACATATATAGTAATATTTCAATTTTTGAAACCTGAACACTTGATGAGTATCCCATGGCAACGATGTTATACGATACGGTTTGTCTCGAAAACGGTCTTTACGTGTTTTAAAACCTATCGCTGAGACTTATCTTGATGATTGCGACGGAGTATTTAAAAGACAATTTATCCCGTCGTCACGACCTGTCGGTTTTATAACAACCTGAGTAGTGAAAACTCAACTTCTCATTCTCAGCTTTTATTGTACTCGTAAAAGTTTGTTTTAAGTTTCGAAATCAAAATTCCTAACTTCTCCATTTCGTTTGATACCTCATTAATCCAAATACATCGCTCCTGAGTGCATTGGAAAATGGATCCGATACTAACATACTGAACATAGCGAAGATGTAATAAGGCCATTTAAGATTTTATTAAGAAGGAAAATGATGGCTTCAATTATAAGAGAGGTAAGAGCTAACGAGGAGAAAGGATTCGACGTGACCTCCTCCACACTATCAGCTCTTTGTCTTGCGATGACAATGGGAGGTACTTCGGAGCCATCGGCCGTTCAACTTAGCCACACAATGGCCAATAACCTTACCGTCGCGGCTGGTCTGTCCGTCTGTCAGGAGGAAGGAGCTGGAAGAGAGATCTCGAGAGCGAAGAAGGCAAACAAAGACGGAATAATCCACATCAGGTGTGCCCGCGGGTGGTATGCGGCTGAAAGGCCTTGGGCAAGGCAACAAGAATATGACCAATCAGATGTATCGCAAACAATCTCGGAACGGGTTCAACCAATCAGTGTCCATTATTTTAGTCAGCTTTTAAGTTGACATATCCTTCTGACTAGGATAGCGATGGTATAGACGAGTTATGAGTAGGGATTAAGGATAATATTAAAGAAGTCGATGATTTGACTTGGAAAAAAAAAATTATTAAAAGTTCTAACTTAATAATCCTAGCGAAAAAAATGTTGACTACTTCCGAGTATAAAGAAATAGAACTAAACAGTCCGTGGTACAGACCCCTTTTTATCAAATTATTAACATCCGCCTGAAACTTCGTAAATAGCTTCATCTCATTGTAACCTACAAATATTTTATTTACGAAAATTGTCGGCCAAAGATGTAATACTACTTAACAAACACATGGTATGAAACAAGTAAGGTGCAAGTCACGACTCGAGCTTTATAGCCTTCTTACCGAGCTTTTTTACAACTCTAAACTCCAGATTAAAAAATGTACCATTTGTCTATAATTTTCGTAAATAAAAATGTTGTAAGTTACAATAATATGAAGCCAGCCATTCATAAAGTTTTAGACGGATGTCAATAATTTCATAAAAATGGGTGTGTATTAATCATAGCGAATAAAAAATTCACGCTGGTTATCTTAGCAACCTTACAGACGAATAAGCGCAGTCATTTCACAACAAGGAAGTTTTCTTACTAATTTTTTTGGGTATCGAAACACCAGTTAGCAAATAATTACGAAAGAAGAGATCGTCAACGATTAGGACAGGCGTATCATAACCAAAACAAAACAAAGGACAATAAATAACAAATGCTACAACAGATTAAGCCAAGATTCGTTAGTTGATACCTGTTCGAGTTAGGGACAAGAGATGTAAAGTTAGAAATTTTAAAATAAGCAAAACTGTCTTTACAAACTGTAATGATAAATAATACATGACATGCCGTCGCTGATTGTAAAAGTTTATTATCTGATAAAAAATAAGTTTTTAAAGCTGTAAAAACAACGATTATCTTGTTTTCCTTATCATGATTAATTCATGTCAGTTTCCATTAAGAAAAAAAATCAAAGCATACGAGGCGATCAAGGATTGCAATTGGGTTAATTTACAAAATTATGGTAACATCAACAAATGAGTACAATATTGATCAGATAAAAAAAGTTCAATTTTAAAATAATTAAATAACATTTAAAATTTTATTAAAGTTTTTATATTAGATGATATAGTCAGTTTATTTCAATAAGTCATTAAATGACACTTAATAACTTTAAATCACTAAGGATTTTGATGAATTTAACCTTAGTAAAAAAATTAGAAGATTGTGTGCTTGTTATAACCATGATGTATGATATATAAAAGTAATCGAGTCATTTTAGTAAAATGAGATTTTTTATTAAAAAAAAAAAGGTCGAAATCAAACAAAAACCTATTACTAATTCATCACTGATAATTTAATTTATTTTAAGATGTTTTCAACTTAAAGGTGACTTGTTTCCACAAAAAATAAATATTATTTCATAGTGAGTAAGACAGAAGTGATATTTCATTATCTCAAGTCTTTTTTTTTTTAAACTTTTATTATGATATTTACAACTGTATTAGTATGAATACATCAAGTAAATTTGTACAGAGAAATACCCTCAAGTCTAAACTACATAAGTAGATATTTAATGTATGTATATATATATATATATATTGTTGAAAGTAGGCAAGAACAACGCATTAAGTAGATAATTAATAACCGATCAGATAAGCATGTGCTCAGAATAAATATAAATTTATACACTAGATTAACTGAATGATATATTTATGATCTATTTACTTTTGATTTTAATATCCCATATCAACCATTGATAACTAAAATATGTCAAAGTTGATAAACACAAATGATGCAAGTAAGAATATAAATATTATTTGTGATAAATATAAGCGAATCATACCACTATCACATGAATATATATACATATGTAATTGTTTGAATCGTCAACAGGATGTTTTATGTAAAAGTTTAATATTAATAATTATAGCATAAATAATGATTAAATCAACAATGAGTAATGAGGCATGAATATACCGAAGTGTAGGCTGTAAGATAACATCAAGAGATTATTTTTATAAAATTTAATCTTAAGCTATTGACCGACTCCGTTTTTTTAAAAGTACAACTTTTAGTATTCCAAAGTATTTTAAAAGTACCTAAATTAAATCTGTAGCAGAAAACTTTAAAAGCAGAAAGATAATTTATTTCCACAATAGGGTTTCCAAATAGAGTCAAATATTTTAAAATTTATATTATTTTTTATGTTTTGAAATTAAGTTAATCTAATCAATTATTTGATTAGAAGTAATCATATGGTAGTTTTTAAAAATTATTATTATTATTATATTGGACATATTTTTATTTATTTGGCCGCCATTTCACACGAATATCATTTACTTAGCAAGCAATAAAGTCAATTAATTAATGAATTAAGTTTTGGAAAAGAAGAGGAGGAAAAATAAAATGTTAGTTGCAAACCAATGTTTTGCACTTATAATCATTATATATGTATAGTATCAGCGCACTGTATACTATAGATATATTTAATTAAAAATATATACCTTATTATATAGCCTGATATATTTACAAGAATTATAAAATATAAAAGAACTTACGAATTTTGTCCAGTATATCATAAAATAAAATTCACGATCTTCTTAGAACGAACACTACACCATCTAATCACTTAGCGAGAATTGAGGTAAATTTGAGAAATTCGAGCATATTCCATCATCGTTTAATATACTATCCATGTTATCATTCCAAGGATTAAAAAGATTATATTGGCTTTCTAGTTCTTCGGAGTGTCACGATATCGAAATCATTACAATTATACATGAAGAGAATACAGAAGTGACATCGAATACTATGTGTAATACGAAGCCTTCTTCTACGGTTACAGTAATACCATAGCTACATGAAATACATCCTTAGAAAGTGAAGAGTCAGATACCTTAGTAACACTATAATAAAAAAAAAACTATAATAATGTTCATAATATTCTTTCATAACAAGGAGTTTGTGTAAACGAGGTTGGCGAAATCAGAAAAGAAATTGTTTCGGTTGATTGGAATTATATACCACAAATATTATTATCGTGTAATTATTCGGAACAAATAATTCAAATAATAAATACAATAATAATAAACTAAGAAAAAAAAAATACTGTAAGGTATGTACCGCTACCAAGTCTACATATATAACTTTTTTTTTTATATACATAATACGTGACTTAAGAGGCAAGGAGGGAAAACATGAGTTCGCCATTCGGATGCTAATATATATATATATATATATATATATATATATATATATATATATATATATATATAACAAATATATATGTATACCTTTGACAAGTAAATTATAAGTGAAAAGCTAGAAAGAAAAAATTGATATGAAGTTGTTAATTCCAAAGTAAGTTCTAGAAGTGTTTGGGGCAGGACTTTTTCTATTTATTTATTTAATGGTTGTTATATAGTGTTATGTAGTATTCCCTCATTATAAGTATAAAATAAAAAACAAAAAGTATTATGTACGAAAGGTTGTTTTTACGTGATAAGATTAGAAAAAATCAATGATTATAAGACTTGAGATATAGGGTAAAAACCCCATATTTCGACACACGCATAAATATATATTTTATATTTAAACAGTGCCTTTCATTTCTATTTTTTAATAAAACAGAAAAATGTCAGAATATCAGCGGGCGCCAGTCTTCGGCATTTCTTACCCGATTTTCAAAACTCCATACAGGAATATGTGATTCTAGCCAAAAACATAAAACATGCCCATCCTGGCGATACATGTCGGGTTTATATTCTTTAGCGATTTTTTCAACCTATAAAACTAAATAAATATGCGAGCGCACGAAGGATTCCCGCTTCAATGATTGGCTTTCGCCAGCTTTAGACCATTTTCAACATTTAATATTCTTCAACAACTGCAGTGGGTGCTGAAAACTGGGGATTTTATGCTATAAGGCTTATTTTTTAAATAATATTTTAGTCAAGAGTTTCCAATGTTTTCCAACCTTTGACGAAGAACAATTCTCTCCAACACGAGGAAGGACGTTGACCGCCCGGACAATACCGAAGATACAACAACCAGACGGGAGGATGCAGCGATGCCCTATTAGAGAACACAATCGGACCGACGTTTCGACACCCGATCACAAGAGCAGGTGAACAGGGACATTGTTGTGCGAACAATCGGTGGCGCAACCAATCCTTTAGAGCGCAATTGTCCGAAAGTGGCTCTTGATGCGCAACACCGGAGATAGACAACGCTCTTGTCTGAATAGTCTCCCTTATGTGGCAGTGCACCCACTGCGCACCTAGCTGCAATCAGTCTTCGAATCGATTGTTGTTCCAGATAGCTGTCGGGGCTAGTGCGGATCTTAATGATGCCAGGATATGTAAGAGGATACGAGAACTAGAGCATAAAGGGATAAATAAATCTTGACCAATATACAATTTATATTAATAACTTCTAATAATAAGAATTAAAACCCTAAACTGACAGAATTTCAGGGGTCATTACAAAGAAAAATCATAAATTTCCATTACCCAAATTAATTTTGGTGCATGACGGTGGAACCTTTTGTTTTTTTAATTCCAAGCAACCGTGGTTCAATTTAATCGTAATTTGTAATGGACACAAGTAAAGAAATGCTTACAGAAACTGGTCTATCAATATATCATGATATAAAGGCGACGAAGACGATGGACGGGACATGTAGCTCTGAGCAATCCATCAGGAAGCCTCAACACAATAATGCCAAGCACAGTAGGCAAGAGAAACATTATTAATAGAAGGCCAAAAACAAAATAGATAGACGGGATCAGAAAATATACAGGTAAAACATCTACGAGGACTGAAATGCCAACAAAAAGAAAGAAGGAATATTTTTGAGAATAAGAGAGGAAAGCGAGTAGGCTTTAATTGTATTAATACAAATGTAATAAACGCATGGTTCGTTCATACCATAGTAATAAAAATAATACAAAACACATATTAAGCTAGTTACTAAAACAGGT